GTATCTGGAGTATTCATCGACCAGTACTAGCATATACTTCTTTCCAGAGAGACTTTGAGTTGATATAGGCCCACAGAGGTCTATATGTAGCATGTCCAAGGGCTTGGTGCAGGAGGTTTCTGACTTTGTTTTATGTGAGGCTCGTTTTAGCTTTCCCATCTCACAGGCTAAGCAAAGATGATATTTTTCGAATTTGAGATCCGGAATTCCCTTGACCAACTTCTGTGTGGCTAATTTTCGTAGTGCATCAAAGTTGAGATATGAGAATTTCTGATGCCATAGCCAATTTTTGTCGCCCTTATGAGACACAAAACAAAGGGTGTCTTGTCCCATAGAGGACTCAAAATCTAGAAGATAGAGGTTTCCTTCTCTCTTTGCTTTAACGATGGTGTGACCGGGCTTTGTTTCTATGATACAAAAACCTTTGTGAAACCTGACTTCAAGACCCTTGTCGCAGAACTGGCTTATGCTTAGAAGGTTGTGCTTCAATCCTTCGACATAAGCAACTTTGCTGATGGAGAGGTTGCTTTTGATGAGAGTGTCATATCCCTTGATAGTGCCCTTGCTGTTGTCTCCAAAAGTCACAGAGCCTCCAGATTTTTCGGTGAAGGAGGACATCTGACTTTTGTCACCAGTCATGTGCCTGGAGCACCCTGAGTCCATGTACCATGGTTGCACATGCTGGTCTTGCAAGACAAATTAAGGGGATTTAGGTACCCATTTCATAATGGGTCCTCGTTTGTTAGTAGGGGATATCACACTCTTTTCATTGCCCTTGGCCTTTGCAGGCTTGGGTTTATTAGCATTTCCCTTGCCCTTGGGTTTGGGCTTTTTCACGTTTTCATTGGTTCTGACTTTGTATTGATAAACGTGTTTGGAGAAGGGACAGTGATGTGTCAACATGTGATTCCTCAGGTTTTGTAAAAGAGTTAAACATTGACAATGATGATGCTTTGGATTTGTATGTCTAACGTTCTTTTTATTCGATGAAAACAAAGAAGTAAAAGCAGGAGGTGTTAATCCTGTCCAAGCGTCGGTTGTTTTTACAAACTTCCTATCTAGTTCAGATTTTTTATTTTAGGAGGTCTTTGGCTTTACTTCTTTTCTCCTGAGGAAGGTCTGCTTTTCTTCAGCTGGATGAGAGGAAAAGTGGTGGTTAGTTTTCTCAGAGGCAGGCCACTTCTGTTTTTGCTCACGGGTAAACTTGATGAACCTGAAGGATGGACTAGGGCCTTGTGAGTTATCTTTGGCAGATTTACTATCTTTCAGTTTTCCCTTTTCTTTGTCTGAAGTTTTCATCGATGAAGGAATACCATATTTCATTGAGGGTTTTAAGTTTTGAGGCTTTTTACTCTCAATGATCTTTGGTGATTCACAAATTATCTCTTCTCCAGATTCAGAATCGAGAAAGTCTCTTGCTGATTTCTCAAAATCAAAACTAGCATGGATTGAAGTGGAAGATGTGGGTTCAGAGGTTGATGCTTCCGAGTGTTCTGCCTGAGGTTTCATTGATTATGATTTCGATGAACTGTCAAATTTACTTGAATGGCTCATCGATTCATCAGCTGATGTTTCCTCATTAGGATTTTCTTTTTCATCAACGGTACTTGCTGATAAAGTGGAATCGACAATCAGAGACTCTGGTTTTACCATAGGATTTCCACCGGTCTCTGATTTAGAGTTGTCATTTCTTTCATCAGAATTCTTACTTGTACTGTTCTCGTATACCACATTCTCAAAATCCTGTCTTAAAACGACAGTTTTTCCAATGACTTTAATTCTTTTAAAATTTGCTTTTGGTTTTGGGCTAAAGTCGGGATTTTGAATGCATCCAAGTTTGAAAGTGGATTCATGGGTGGATTTCTTGATTCGATGAAGGAGTCCAATTCATTGAATCCAATCCCTTGAGTGTCCGTTTGACCATTTAATTTTTCATAAACGTCTTGGGCATCTTTGTACTTCTTCATCAGAAGTTCATTGGTTTGAAGCTTCTGGTGAAGAATTTCCCGTTATTTTTGAAAAAAATCTTTAAGAGCAACTGAGTTTAGTCTCTCTGCCTCGGATTCTTGTAAGGCCTTAGTTTTCTTTTCTAAGTCCTTAGTTATTGGTTTGTTTAGTCCCAGAAGTTTATCTTCCTCTGATTTCTTAAGAGTGGTGATGCGAGTCTTTTTGTTAGCTAATTCAGCTTTTTCTTCGGTTAGAAGGTCAGTCTCTCTTTTGTAGAAACTTGCTTCTTTTTCCGCTTTTATTCTTTCAGATTTCTCAAAATTTAAAATTTCTTTTAATTTAAGGAAATCCTCTGAAAGTTTTATCACCCTTAACTCTAGCTCAGATGGAGTAGAGTTGGTTTCATTGGAAGTAGACTCACTTACCTGATCATCGGAGTTGGAGATAGATTCTGCATTGGACGTGGCTATTAGACAGATGAATGCTTTATCTTCATCATCTGATGAAGAATCAGACACCCAGTTTTCTTTTTCGATCATCAGGCTTCGCTCTCTAGGATTATATTTGTATTTGTTCTTGTAATAGTCAACATCCTTTACCAATCGTCCTCTGCATTCTTTGGAAAAATGACCGAGTTTTCCGCACCTGAAGCATCGGAGGTCATTTTTCCTTCCATCCTTGTCCTCTTTCCTCTCATCTCTTCTGTCTTCCCTTCTGATGAAATTTTGATGGCTTCCTTTCATAGGATGACTGGTACCTTTCCCTCTTGAACTCTTTTCGTTCATAGGGTTTCTTGATGAACTTCTTTTGGAACTGCTTAGTAATCAGGGCCAGAGATTTGGCAAAGACTTTAATTTCATCATCTGATTCAGAAGTTTTGTCCTCAGATTCTGATTCTACCACCAGTTCTTTCTTTCCTTTCTTCTTGTGTTCTCTGGTGGGGGTCCTTGATTTTTCCTTTTCATCGGCAGCAAGAGCAAGAGGTCCTCCGATGGATACCTTCTTTTTCATAATGTCGTTCTCTTGTACTACAAGCGTTCCATACAGATCATGAAGTGACCAGCCGTCTAGGTCCTGATTTGCTTGAAGGGACATAGACAACTAGGTCCATTCATCGCCAAGACTTTTTAGGAATAAACCATTGTTTTCTTCCTTAATTCTGGAGATATCGTTTCGACGACACTGAATAATCAATGTGTTGAAACGATCGTATGTCTTCTGAATCGGTTCATCAGGAAGGGCCTTGAAGTTTGTGTATTCGTTGAGACATTGTGTCTACGATTTTTCCTTGTTTTTGCCCCTCCTTCCAGTTGGCTTTCCAATTCATCCCATAGTTCCTTGGCTGTGGAACATGCATCGAGGGATTGAAAGATTTCATTGGGTATGGCCATGATTATCAGTCGTTTGGCCTTCTTGTCTGTCTCTACCCGTTCTATGTCATCTTCATCCCAATTCTTCTCATCCTTGGGCATGTAGTAGGCAAGAATTTCAGCTGTGTTGTTTGTTCTTGGGACTCTTGGAACAAGAGTTTGTGGAACATAAGGACCCTCCATTACAGATCGTAGAAGGTTCCTGCCCATTCCTTCTAGGAAATTCACCATTCTTATCTTCCATTGCGGGTACTCTTCTCGTTGAAGAGTTGGAGGCTTGGTGAGGGAACCAACACTGTATGCAGAATTCCAGTTGGCCATTGAGATTTTTTAAGAAGAGAGAGATTTTACGTTTTGATGAGAGAAGCGAAAAATTGAGAGATTTTGGATGATCGTTTTGATTGGAAAAGTAATCAATTGGCTCTGATACCAATTGTTGATCCCAGATCTCTCAATAACACTGATAATCAAGTTAGGAATAACCAAATTATAGTGTTTTGATGAACAAAGTGATGAACAAAGTGATGAACACTCAAGAATAAATTATGAACATTAAAGAACAATCTTGAGCGTCAAAGATTTCACTTTATTAATAAGATAAACGTAAAAGAGACATTCAGTACAATAGGCCTAATCACCTATTTATAATAGTAAGCTAATTAGAAGATAACTATCTAATAAGACTTTCTAGCTAATCTTCTATTAACAGATAATATTTATCTAAACTATGGATAAGCTATAAATCTAAGATAAACTTGGAGTCCAGCTATCGACTTGTCATCTCCAACTGTATGCCTCTGGATGAATTGCTGAATAATTCTCTAAGTGTTGTTGACCAGAGGGGCGATGAAGATGCTTTTTCCATCGCATCCCTGGTTGTCCATCGGCCCTCTGGTTGTTCTCCAGACTTAGCCAATTCTGCCTTGATGTCTTCATCGGTCTTCTGGTTTTTCATCACTTATTGTCTTTCATTACTTTTTCACTTTATGAATTATGGGGTTTAACACCCTTTGTTAAAAGCTTCGGTATTTTGGGACTTTTTATAAGTCCAAAATGTTTGTGTGTAAATATTTATGTTTTCTTTAATTTATGTTTTTTAATAAGTATTATTGTTATTTCTAATATTGTCGTTAGTTATTGTGTGTTTTGCAGTGTTGTCAATCGTCAAGAAAATTTTGAAGCCTTGATGTAGCATCTGGAAAACCCTAGCCTTTAATGGAGAATCTTTGAAATTTTTAAAGTCTGAAAATTTTGAGTGGGAAAAAGCATGATGTCATTTTCAAAACTTAATTTTTAAGAATGGTAATCTCTTTTATTTGCCAGCCAAGTGTAGTACATTTTGTAAGGAAAAGTACTCCTTTGTTTTTGAGAGGACACATTGTTACCAACTTTTCAAACACATCACTAAGTTGTCAAGAAACCTATCCTTCAATTGTGACTAATGTTTGAAAACTTACTAGTTGAAAAGAAATGGGACCTCCATCAAGTACCCTTCCCTTTTGCATGCTCCCAATGCTTACATCACCCAACATCACCTTCTCCCCATTTTACCCTTGTATTATGAAAAACCCCTTTGCATTCTAGAAAACCCACTTTCTCCTTTCTTCCCTCCCATTTCTAACTGTCTCTCTCTCACGACCGATAACTGCTACCCATCTCCCAACCACTCACCAACGTTCGAAAATGGCGAGGGTGAAGAGGGCTCTGGTCCGCGACCCTCCTCCGACACAAGCATCTGAAGCGACGCCGGCGCAACCGCCTAACCCACCACAGCCGGTGGCTACTGCCATGCGTACACCTACCTCGCGAAGACAGCCGGTGAGGAAAGGGAAAAGAGTCCCCATTCCAAAGAAGAAGAAGGGCGAGTCTTCCACTGTCCTTATCGATGAAGACGCACCATCACCACCGCCGTCGCCGTCTCTGCCACTGCCGTCCACTACCGTCGTCGACGCTATTCCACCAAAAGTGCCTATCGCCGCTCCTCCTCTACAAATGGTGCCATCTTCGACCATTATTCCCTTTACCGACCATCTCAAGATATGAAAAAAGAAAGCACCTACTGTTCCGATTTCAAAGGAAGCTCCAACTTCATCTATTGCCACCAAAAACAGGGAGATGCCCAATAATGCTCCAAAGGTACAATCCTCTTCTGATAGTACTCCCCTTGGTGGTCTATTCACTTCTGATTTTGAAGAAGATGAAGACCTTGCCCCTAAGGCACAAACATGGGAGATTTTAATGGAAAATGAGGCATGCAACTTGGAGAACATCACTGTGTATGAAAATCCTAGACAAACTCTCCTCTTAACTGCCTCTGGGCAAGAAACAGATGAAGAGGATGATATGCCTAATATCACTCCTCATGACCCCATTCCCGACCTCAATGAGGAATTTTTTGGGGAAAATGGGGAAGAACCCCTTGTTGTGGTTATGCCTAAGAAAAGAAGAAGATTGGTTAAGGCTTGTGAACAGAAGTCCAAAACAGTGGTTGATGAGGAACCCCCTAGGAAGAAGACCAGGTCTCAAAGGATTGTGGTTGAGTCACCTAGGAACTCTGAGAGTGATGTTGTAGCATCACCACAACATTCATCCAGACCAAATAGGAAAAGGGTGGCTATGGCCCAAAGGCTAACCACCATTCCAAGGCCAATCAAACCACATAATGGTTTTAGTTCCAAGGCTGCTGAGAAGATGCATGCTAGATTTCAAAACAGGGTTGGATTTCCTGATAAAGGATTCGATAGGCAGAGTGTTAGAGAGTTTGCTTTTATAAGAGAGGTAGTTGAAGCTCATGGGATAGAGCAAATGTGCATGGTCCCAACTTCCTATAATCTGACTTTGATTGGAGAGTTTTATGCCGAGTTTGCTGCCAATAGCACATCCAAGATCTTGATTAGGGGGATGTCCTTCATTTTAAATTCCAAAGCCATCAATAGGCTTTATGGCTTGAATCCCCCTAAGAAGACAGAATATTCAAGGATGGTGATACATGCAACCATAGAAGATTTGACAGTTGTGGCTGATGAGATAAGGAAGCCCGGGGCTGTTTGGGATGAGCATTCGAATTACATGCTTATGACTTTTAAGGCCTACAACCTTACGACCAATGCTAATGTGTGGATTAACTTTTTGAGGCACTCTATTGCTCCTACCACTCATGATAGCTCTGTATCAGTGGAGAGGATGTTGTTGCTTTATTGCTTAGTTAGAGGAAAGTCCATCAACTTTGGGAGAGTGATTGAGAAGAGCATCCGGACATGCTCAGGAAGGAGTAGGGGGAAGATGTATTTCCCTTGTTTGATCACAAGATTGTTGGTTGAGAATGGTATTCCTCAATACTGTGAAGATCAGATGGTGAAGAAGCAAGGAGAGAAATGGAAGATTGATATGAAGACTGTGTCTAGGTTGAGGGAGAAGAAGGACAAAGAAAATGGGGCTGGTGACATGTTGTGCTTGATGCAAGACCTGCTGGCCCAAAACAGCAGTTTGATGGACAGTTTGTTGGAGCAAAGGAATGAGTTCTTTGATAAAATTGATAGGTTGAAGGGAGAGTTGGCTGAGAGGGTGAAGGCAGCCGAGAAGAAGAGTAGGGGAGACATCAAGTTGGTGAAAGCTGAGTTGGAAGCAAAGTCAAGTGCCCAAATCAAGAAGTTGGGCAAGAAGTTGAAGGCCTTGAAGGAAGAAAATGCAAGGTTGTTTGGAGAGAATGCTAGATTGAAAGAGGAGTGAAAGAAGTTGAAGGACAACATCTCCACTTCACCTACTCCTATGGAGTAGGACAGGTTCTATCATTCCCTCTTTAGCTTCTTTTGTTTATTTTATTTCAACTTGTTTTGATTTACTTGAGTCTGGGATTGTCTTTTACGTTTTCTAGTTTGTTTTCTTCCAAAGAACACATATGTTTATACTTGCCATATGCTTGTATAGCCAAAATAATTCTTGAAGTTTAACTACACTTTCTAAACAGTTGGTATCACTAGAACTATCTTGTTTTGCTTCGGAACACATTTTGATCCACATCATATGCTCAACTAAGAGAGGATGTAGGCTTTTTGTTCTTTTCTAAATATCTTAGCCACTTATAGCGATTACATAAACAACCCCCTATACACTTCCAATGAGGACATTGAAAAAYCTGAGTTTGGGGGTGGGTACCAACATAGTCATATTGATCAAAGCAATGCAAAAGAGCATAAAGTGCCAAAAGTGGAGATCAAAGTGCATAAGGCTTCAATGTCATATTTGAGATCTAAAACACCAAAAATGTCCCATAGGGGCAGGTGTAAACACCAAAAATGTCCCATAGAGGCAGGTGTAAATGCATTCAACAAAAGAGCACAAAGTGCCAAAAATTAAAAAAAAAAATTCAAAGTTGATGCATAAAAGTGAGAAAAGGAAAAGAGAGAAAAAAATGTGCCAAATAAGAGTAAACCAGTTAATTTCAAGTCCTATTGATCTTAGACATATGTTGTGTTGAGCATAACAAAGAGCAAATAAAGCTAGCTTATGGTTCATACTAATGGTTAGTTAGGATATGCTTACTTGAGATTTATGAAAGCTATATAGTGCATTTTGGCATAATCAACATGTGTGTATGCACTTACTGCATATTCTTGCAAAAATTTCAAAATTGAGTCATTTTTAGTTGTCTTTTGGTTGCTTGGGGACAAGCAACAGTTGAAGTTTGAGGGTGTGATACGCACTAAGTATTTAGTGCTTAAAGCACCATTTTATTCTCTTTTAGATAGATTATTTTGCATTTATATCCCAACTTGAGTCATTTTACCTTTTTTCTCTATTTTTATGCTGAAGTGAATGATGAACCTGTTTTTATTGGATTTTGGTCTAAATTGAGCTTAGTTTGGACAGATTGAAGCTGGTTGATGCTGCAGGAATGTGGCAGCATGACTTGATGGTGGAGAAAGAGATGGATGAGACTTGGAGTTGACCGACAAGACCATGGGAAGACTTTCGAAAGGCTTTTAAAGTTGGAACAGCTGTGTTATGATCAGATTAACTGGAGCTTGTTAAGACTAATTTAGTTGCTTTTTAAATATTAGTTTACTTTAATGTACTTTATAGTTTCTTTTGAACTAAGTTGGTGTGAAATTTCCATTTTGCCCCCATCTAATCTCTTGTATAAAAAGGAATGATGTGTTTAATATTCCACACAACTTCACACCTTACTCCACACTTCACACCTCATAATCTCTAGTATCTCTTTTGTTTCTCTCTTCAAGTAGGTTGCTATACTACTTGAAGAACAAGTTTCTTAATATTATTAATCTTTTGGCTAAATTTCGAGTTTCTTTAATCGCTTCCTTTATTTTCCCGTTCTTAATATTCCGTCGTTTATTTATTTACGCTTACTTGCATTTTATATACGTCATTTATTTATTACGCTTTCCGCATTTTATATTTTGTCATTTATATTCCGTACTTACTTTCCGCATTTATTTTATGTCTTTAGTTATCGTGCTTTACATTTCTTGTAATTTACTTTTCGTCATGAGTAGCTAATTTTATTAGCTCGGGTGTGTGACGAAAAGGTTGATTTTGTAAATCAAATATAGTCGACCCTTTCATGTAACAACGATGTTTTACTTTTTTATTTCAAGTTTTATAAAACCAATGACACTTCTTGACGAGTTGATCACTTTGAAAGTGTTAAAGTGCCATGGATTCTAAGCTGAGCCATTGATTGCACGTCAATTTGCATGATATAGGAAGTACACTTGAGAGAGTTGCTAACAAAGAGATTTGTTGTCTGTATTTTCTAAATTATTAATTCTCGACGGGTTGATCACTCTGAAGTGTTAAAGTGGAATGGACTCAGAGATGAGCCATTCAGAACACGTCAACTTGAATGATATGGAAATCCACTCGAGAGAGTGATTTTTAACAAAGATATTTGTTTATCCATATATTTTGAAGACACCATTTGTCACTTTCACTGGTCTGGATACCTCATAGAGATATGGGTTGAAAGCTATAATATCAGTGTATTGGTGAAGTCCGAGAGGAATACCTTCAAAGTAATTGGTAAAAATAATTGTTATTGGTTGAATGTTGCAATAATTTGTCAGCATGGTTTCATGCTGTAGCATTTTGACAGCATTGGTCTACTAGGAAATAGTATTTATATCTCAACCGAAAAGTCATACACCCTAGCTTGCTTTTATTATTTGTTATCTCCTGTTTTTAGTTGTGTTAACTCAATTCAAATCAAAGTCTTCAAATTCTCCTTCTGAAATCATTTCCTTAACTTTACTTTCTTCTAAACTTTTACTACGATCCCTGTGGACGATATCCGGTACTTGTACCACTTTTATTACTTGAAAAACGATATTGGGACTATTTGTATACTTGCTTTTATTCCTGATTATAGTATGTGGTGTGTTAGCATATCCGCGATCACTCACTCAAACCAAGATTAGTCTTGGTAGTTATTTGAAGGACGCATGAAAACAGCGACCTTGAGATTCTAACAGAAGCGTATTCCTTGGTGGAAGGTATGTAGAACCCTCTAACAATCCCACGTTGGGATTCTGTGACGGCACAAGTTCGCCAGAACTCCTGAATGAAGCGTTCAGGTACAACGTCGTCGGTGTTTGAGAGGATAGGTTTCAGAAAATGATGTTGAAGAACATCAAACAATAGGGCGAACCTTGGGGTCGAAACCGTCCAAGGTGAGGTAAAGGGTATGGTTGTTAGGTTTCAGTGGGAGGGGAACGATGTTTTTGCTAGTTTCTTCCACTGTTTTGAGGGTAGTTGTTTGGATTTGGGAGTTTGCAAAATCGAAAGAAGACATTTTGCAGGTTTGGGCGAAAAAGATGAGGGTTTTTGAAGATTAGTGTTTCAAAAAATCGGTTCTTGATTCTTCTTAGGTCTGGAGAGAGTTTTTAAAGAAATTACTTGAAGAAAATCGATTGAATCAAACACGGATTAATGATTCTTGAGCTTTGGTGTTCGTCAATGGCAGTTGTTCTTGAGAGCTTGAAGACAGTAAAGAGAAATATCTAAAGTAAATTTGAAAGCGTAAA